TATTAAGTTCAAACTATTAATAGAGATGCTCTAAAATTAATTAATTAAAAGGTTTGATTTACTGAGACACCCTTAAAGAAAAATGTATATAATTTTTATGCTTTTATTTTCTCTAGTTTATCCGTTATTTATTTTATCATTTATTAAGTTCATTTCTCATTTCAGTTTATGGTTTGTTTATTTTTAATTTTCTTTTTAAATTAGTTTGGTTTTTTCAGTGCATTTTTTAACCTTGCAAGTTATTAAATATGCAAAAAAAAACCATGGATAAGTTCAAAACACATATTTTCTGATTGTCTTAAACAGTCATACCAGTTGATTTTCTTCCATGACAAGCAAGATCTTTTTCTTTTGACAACTGATTTACAAACTTTAGAACAGAATTTTTCATAATGGTTCCAGTTACGCAAAGATTTTCAGTAACCATATATTTAATCAAAAAAATTCTACTGTAGTGGCCATCACAACAAATGTTTTTACCTAGTGGTAATCCCTCTGTTTGATGAGCAATCCACCACTATTAATCCACCACCAATCCCAAGGTTCAAGATTGAATTGAAATTTTGTATACCCTGATCAACAATAAAATCTAAAACTAAGCCTTTAGCATCAGCCCATAAAAAGTTTTTTAATCCAATTTAATTAGGTTTGTTAGGTATGTACTGCCAAGCTAGAGTAGATTTAGTGATGATCATCTGTTCATTGATGTTTAAGTCAAATTCTCTTTTCTGTTTCAAAAGTACAAATGGACAAAAGTCTTAGAGGTAATGTGATTAATATGATTAACAGCTTGAGTTCAAATGTCCAACAAAACCAAGAGAAACTCAATGAGAATATGTTTGGGTGGTTCAAAAATCAACAATTTTAAAAATATCTGCTACATGGCCCTTAACTCTTTCACTGCCGCAAGCCGCTTTTGAATTTCATTAAATTTGACGGCAAGCCGCTAGTGAAGCATACTGTCAAGCATACTCGAAAGCCGCGGCTTTCGAGTATGCTTTACAGTTTTTTGTTTTGTGTACAATATATTTTTTCTAGACAAATTTAGTTTGTTTATTCCTAAAGTTACTAAAATACTAAAATAGTACCAAATAAGAGCAATAACTTGTAATTTTAAAAATTTATAACCTTTAAAAGTTGAAAATAACACAAACAAAAATTTCGAAAAAATAAATTTAACAATGTTAGTTCTACAATAAGGTAGCGTTATCATTTATACTGCTAAAGTAAACTCGTAGAAGTTGTATAAGTATTTAGCTAAGTAATTACAAAAGTCTTTTGTTTAAAAACATTCTTGTTATACATTAAACGAGTAATCTTTTGAAGTTAATATATCTGTTGGAATTTACAAAAACAATGACTTTAAACGCTTGTATTTCTTGTTGTTAAACGAAGCGTGTTAAAAACCAATGTAATTAAAAAGTTTATTTGTACAGCTTTCTATTGATATATAGTTTGTGACATTTTTAAAGAGATTTACTATTAGAAGAACTATTAGAAATTCAATAAGTTTGTAATGTTATGTAATCCAAATTTTATGCAAAAAAAGTGCGGTCACGGCAAGAAGTTTTTTTTTTTAAAACGGCTGGTAGCGAAAGAGTTAATGTGTACTTTATGACACAAAAAATATTTTTAATCATTGCTAAAGACCCTTGACTGAGTCCCTAATATTAATGGGTCTCTAATATTATTATAAATAATCATTTTTATAAAAACATTATTTTAGATTTTACTGCATAGAAAATAACATCTTTTAACTGAAACTGAAAAAAGTGTCTTAGATTTTTTTTATTATAATTATTTTTTTTTCAATGTTTTTTGTAAAATTATTATTTTTGAAACTTTTATACAATTTCACTTAATTTAATGTTAATACATTTATAGACTAAGGGATATATATCAAACTTACATTACCTTTTATCAAAGTCTTACCTTCCATTATAATAAGCTGTAACGTTTTCAGCACTTGATCCGTTTACCATCACATAAGCTGTCCCATTTGCATTTTCAGCAAACTAATAACAAAATAATGTGTTTATCTTAATGATAGCTAATATAGATGACTATAGGTGAGGTTAGCCATGAAAATGTGTTTTGTAGCATTTAGCTGCAGTGTCTGAGACATTGGATTTTACCATTTAAATTAAGTGACTTGGGTTTAATTAATAACTCAGACATAAGTTGCACTAGTCCAACGCTGTTTACCTGTTACCTGGGTTACCTGTTACCTGGGTTACCTGTTATAATTGATATAAAACCTTAAAAACTTCTACCCTAAAACCCACATAAATGCACATTTTTCATCCCGAAACCCATATAACTGCATACAATTAACTGAGTTATCATATATATATTAGTAAAAAAACTATTAAAAAATTAAGTAAAAAAAAACTTTTTCCCAGGTTTACAAACAAAAATACTAGAAAAACACAATTTAAGGAAAAAAATTACATACAGTTCTCGATGCTTTTGACCAAAAAGAATCAGATGGACTATTGCATGATTTATTACAACGCACATAGTTTACTCCATCATTACAGTTTGGTGTTTGAGGTTTGCAACCACACCATAATAAATCATTTACAAGATACCTGAATAAATAAAATCTTTATTTATACTTGTTGTTATTTAATATAAGAGTAATAACATTAATGCATTAATTTGTTTTCTTTTACTGTGCATGTGTGTGCATCTCAAAACTGCATGAAGCAGCATTCACATCTCTCTGCTAAGCTTAACAAAAAAATAATAAGTGGCAATTTATTCATTATATAGGATTGATAAAAGCTAAAAAGAGACTTATCTGTTGTAAAAAAGGGCAGGATTGAAAAGTAGTAGACATAAAACATGAAAAAAAAAAAAACATGTTCTAACAATTCTAACATACATTTTTCATTTTCAGAATAGTTAAATTTACAATTTTAACTTTAATGATAAATATTGGACTGTTAGTTGCCCACGCTTTAATGTCAACCACAATCATATTCATTGTCACAAAAGGACAAACATAATAAATTTAACTTAGAAGATCTAGAATGCATCTAAATTTTTTAAAGGACTTCACTATTTTTTTAGAAATACCCAAGTATGGTGTATTTTTAAAAAATTTTTTTAGCATTGATGACATTTTTTTAACATTGATGACATTTTTTTAGGATTGATGAGAATGTTAGAAAATGCACTACATTTTATACAAAAAATATGAATCCTTCCATGACAAATTTTGAGTAAAAAGTTTTTTCTTATCGGCTGTATAAATGATGACTTTCTTAAATTCTATTGAGTATTAGATTTTAACAAACTCAACTAAAATTTAATTGCAGAATAAGCCAAATACATGGTAAACATTTTTTATAGGGGTTGAATTTGGTTTCCTTCCGACAATTACTTCTTGATTAAGTTCATTTTATATAACTATATTTTATGATTTTTCGCTAATTTTTACTTTCAGACTATAGCTCATTAAAAAAATATGGGAAAGCCTGGTTCACAAAAAAAGAAGGAATATTTATTTTGAATAAAGGAAACTAATAAGGAGAAATATCTTTAAAAAAAAAGAGAGAGCGAAAGAAAAGCAAAATTAAAACTTTTAAAAAAAAACGCAAACAAATATAAATCTAAGTTGAAAAAAGACAAAAAGAAAAAAGTTGGAAAGAGCTTTGAAAAAAAAAACAAGTAAAAATGTTAAGATTTATTTTAACTGTAATTAGCTCTTTTTAATTGGAAGTATTTTTCCTTTTGTAAAACTTGGTTCCTATTGTAAAACTAAGCAATTTAATTTTCAACTTTTGCATGTTATTTATTATATGATTTATTATAATTTCCTTATGTATTTTATTAATATGTTTATTTTTACTCGTTTTACCTCTTTAGATTTTCTTATTTTTAGATGTAAACAGAGATGGAACAACTAATCAGGTCACTTATTGTTTATTAGACTAATTAAAACGAGCTATGCCAAAAAAAGTCCACTTCAAGTTAAAGTTTTATCTGCTCTTGTGCAAAGTTTATCATCAAGTTTAAAAAAAAAACATCAAGTTTTTTTTTAATTCTAGAGAAAAGCTTTCAAAACTGGAAGATCAATAATACAGGTAAACAAAACAAAACTGGAAGGCCATCAATAATACAGGTAAACAATGAAAACTGGAAGGCCATCAATAATACAGGTAAACAAAGAAAACTGGAAGGTCATCAATAATACAGGTAAACAATGAAAACTGGAAGGCCATCAATAATACACGTAAACAATGAAAACTGGAAGGCCATCAATAATACAGGTAAACAAAGAAAACTGGAAGATCAATAATACAGGTAAACAAAGAAAACTGGAAGGCCATCAATAATACAGGTAAACAAAGAAAACTGGAAGGCCATCAATAATACAGGTAAACAAAGAAAACTGGAAGGCCATCAATAATACAGGTAAACAAAGAAAACTGGAAGGCCATCAATAATACAGGTAAACAAAGAAAACTGGAAGGCCATCAATAATACAGGTAAACAAAGAAAAAGTAGTTAAATTTTTAGAATGGCCAGATATAAGCTATTGATCCCCAGGCAGGAAAGATACTGTTTACTGCGGGAAATCTGATAATGTTAAAGTCTATCGTTCTGGTGTTTTACTTAGCATAATTAGGTTATTTTTAGCACTAATAAAAAGCCAACACTCTCTGATTGCATGGAGAGAGCATTTGAGCTTGAGAAAGATCTCACTTCTGCTACATTCTATTATCCCCTAATGAGGGTACAGCTGTAAAACTCAGTTTTATGGTTCTGAGGCCAGATGGTAGTCCGGTTTCCAGAACTCTGTGGTAGCTCTAAGAGAGGCTGACTCCATTAACAGCTGTAAAATGTCTAACAATGCCATGTTGCGTATGGATGGTGTCCCTATTTGTACTTGTGGTTTGAATTGTCGAGGCCACATTTGGACCCCTTTGATACTGCTTCAGTTTATTAATAGTAATGAGGCAATTGCTCGGACTATTAAATAGTGCACTGAATACTATCTGTGATTTGAGTCAGGTTCTTTAACAAATTCAAAAATAACTTAGTATAAAAATATAGTATAAAAATAACTTAGTACAAAAATGTAGTATAAAAATAACTTAGTATAAAAATATAGTATAAAAAACTATAAAATACAAAAAGCTATTGTCATCACCAAGTTCTCTAAATCTATCATTCACTTATATTTGTGGTCTTCGAAGTAACATTTCTTCTTTTGAGTCTTATCTCTTGCTAAGTTCATCAGACCAACTTGCTCTTTGTGAGACTAATTTGAGTTTGGCTGTCTCATCTTCTTTTATGTGCTTTTGTTTAGCACCACTTCACTCTACCACTTTTCCTTCAGCCAATATCGTTGTTGTTAGTGACTTTAATGCTCATCACACTGAATGGCTTGGCTCTAGTGTCTGACTCTGCAGGCGTTAAAACCCACAACTTTTGCCATTCTCAATGTCTAACACAAATAGTCAACTTTCCAACTTGCTTTCCAGATAATCTGAACCATTTACCTTCTCTACTCGACTTATGTCTTGTTTCTGATCCTAGTCAGTGCTCAGTTTCTCCACATTGACCCTAAGGTGCTTCTGATCACGGTTTGATCTCTCTAAAACTATTATTTCATTCTTCTTCATCATCAAAATCCTCCTATTTTCATATCTCTTATAAATATCTTAAAGCTGACTTGGACCCTTTCTGTGCTTTTCTTCATGATGGGCCTTGGATAGAAATCTTTCATCTTCCTGTTGACCAATTCGCTGTTACTATTCTTAGGTCACAAAATCCTGTAAGCCCACTGTTCATAGGTCACAAAATCTCGTATTTCATCTCAAAAATAAAGCTTGTGAACTCTGGAGAATCTAATAGTATCAATAATAAGGGCAAATCTGCTATTTCACTTCTCTTGTATGGTTCAGATTTTGTCACTTCGCCTAAAGACAAGGTTGTTTTGTTTGCTAAGAACTTCTCATCAATATAATCTCTTAATTCCACTAGTCCTGTTCTACCTGATATAGCCAAGTTAGTTCAATGTATAACAAGTTAGTTCATTGCTTGACTTTGTTATCACTCCAGCTTCTGTATCTAAAGTAATTTCCTACTCAGACACTTCTACAGCTTGTGTTCCTGACAGCATACCTGTTATAGTCTAACAGAAGTGTTTTCCGCAGCTGTCATCTATACTTTCAAAACTATTTAACAAGTACTTATCAGAGTCTTGTTTTCCATCCTGCTGGAAAGTGGCATCTATTATTCCTATTTTCAAAAATTCTGGAGAGCAATTTGACTCGCCCAACTACCATCAAGGTTTTTGAGTCTAATTAACAAACACTTAATCTCTCATCTTGAATCTAATAACTTACTTTCTGATCATCAATATGGATTTCGATCTTCTCATTCTACTGCTAATTTGTTAACGGTAATAACCAATAAGTTTTATTGTGGATTAGATAAAGGTGGAGAGGTTAAGACCATCGCTCTTGACATTTCTAAAGCCTTTGATAAAGTTTGGCATGCTGATCTTCTCCATAAGCTTTCTTTTTACGGTGTATCAGATAACATCTTTAATATTATTGAACCCTTCTTTACCAATTGTAGTATAAAAGTTATCCTTGATGGATAGCACTCTTTATATTCTGTAACTTCAGGGGTTCCTCAAGGTTCTATTCTTGGCCCTATACTCTTTTTAATTTAAATTAACCATCTTTTAGAAATTCTCACATCTAATGTAGCATTGTTTGCCGATGATACTACCATTTATTCTTGTCTTGATAAAAAGCCAACACACTCTGATTGCATGGAGAGGGCATTTGAGCTTGAGAAGGATCTCACTTCTGCTACAACATAGGCCTCTCAGTGACTGGTGAACTTTAACTCAATTAGAACTCTTTTTTTTTTGGCTATTTGTTATTGCAACAATCTAGATCTTCCTATATTTATGAACGGTAAAGTACTCGATGAGTCATTTACCTTTCGTCTCCTTGGATTAACTCTTATTTCCAATTTTTCTTGGAAACCATATATCAAATCCATTGCAAAATTAGCATCTGCCAAAGTTGCATCTCTTTATCGTGCTTGCCACTTTCTTACTCCAGATTCTATTCTTTTTCTCTATAATCTTCAAATCCGTCATTGTATGGAATGCTTTGAATGCCCTTTCTTTTTTAGACAAGGTGCAAAAACGAATTGCAAACATAGTTGGACCTGCTCTTGCAGCCAACCTCCAGCCATTATCACATCACCATAATGTTGCTTCTCTTTCTTTTTTCTACAAATACTATAATGGACACAGCTCTAAAGAGCTAGTATCTCTTGTGTCATCCACTAAAATTCATTCTTGTATTACTCATCATTCTATTAAGACTCATTGTTCTATCAAGTGCTCTAAAAATTCTTATTGGTCTAGTTTTTTCCTCAAACATCAGTTCTTTGGAATTTGCTTCCTTCATCTTGTTTTCTGATTCATATAATTTTTTATCTTTTAAGTCATCTGTCAATCGTTATCTTGCTCTATAAACTTCATCTTTTTTCTTTCAATAACTTTTAACTCTAATAGTGTATTCCTTCTGTGACACAAGTTTTAAAGATCTTTAACAGAAACTTAAGAACTCTACAGTCAATGTCTTTAACCCAAATTACTATTGTTTTTAAGGTAGTTTGTAAAATATTATCAGAACCATCTTTGAGATTTAATTCTTTTTTTAATTTACAATTTAGTGTATCAATTACCTTCCGTGACAAAAACAATACTTTTCTATCCTGCCCAAAAAGACCTTTAAAAAAAAACCCAAATATCATTGGGTTTTTTTAGGTAGGTCTTTTTGGGTTGGCTTTTTTGCCAACCCTGATCTATCAACTTTTATTTTATTTCATAACACCAAAAGTGAAGCTTGCAAATCTACAGCTTTTATGTCAAAATCATTTTTTTTAGTACAGTTTAACTTTTATTTTTTAACAATACAAACAAAACATAACATATGTACTGAAGTAAACATATTCACTACAATGCAAACAATATATGATATTACATAATACTGCTAGGAGATTACATAATACTGTTATGATATTACATAATATAGGCTTTCACAGAAAAACGTGCAATTTCACGCCTTTATATGACCACGCAAGTTACATTTTGCTATGACGGTTTGACCACGGCTAATTCAAAAAACATTTTAGAAAGGCGCTAAATAAAAAATATTCTAAAAAAGTGAAATTAAATATGTCAAAACTTCTTAACAAATGTTTTTATATTAGCGAAACGATTTTAAATAAAGTAACAGTTTAGTGAAAAAAAGTTTTGTTTTTTAAATATAATTGACAGTTATTTTTGTTTATACTATTTTTTTATTATTTCTATCTTAAAACAAAAAAATTAATAGTTTTTTGTTTTTACTTTTATTTGAAAATATAGCTTTTTTAAATGTTTTAATTGTATGTTTATTTAATTTAAAACATATAAATTGTTTAAGCGTTCATTTCTTAAATGAATCTTATAAAAAAAAAAAACTGTTATGTTTTTATAAACGATGATATTCTACGACTACGAAAGTCTCTTTAACGAATTTAAATATAAGAATGATTAAAGTTAATGCATTTAAAAAGATAAACAAAATTTCGTTAAAAAAAAGTTTTAGAAAACCATTACAATTTAATAAGTTTGATCTTAAATGCTTTTATATTAACGAAACGCTTTTAATGATGTAAAAAAAAAAACACTTCTAATTACTTTACAAAAAAGTATTAATAAAATATTTTTTTATTTTATTTATATAACTATGTATTTTTTATGAGAAATATTTAACTTTTGAACATATTAAACAAATAAAAAAATATATAAAAATGTTGAAACAAAGATTGAAAAGGTTTTTTAATGCATAAATTAAATAGACTAAGCATTTTAGTTTGATGAGTTTTGTTTTAGTTGCGTTATATATATGTATTTATTTTTTTGTGTTTTTGCTTTAACTAAGTATTTTTTTTCATTTTCTCTTTCGTTAATATTTATTATTTTTTTAAATTTTTTGTTTCAGATAAGTTTAGTTAAGTTTTTGTAGCGCGTTTTTAAATTTTGAAAATATGCCGTGGTCAAATCAATAAAACATCTTTTTTTTTGCGTGGTCATATAAAGAAATGAAATTCCACGTCTTCCTGTGAAAGCCTGATAATACTGCTAGGATATTATATAATTCTGCATGAATATGCCATGCTAGAATATTTTTTAATCTGTTTATAAAAAATTTGTAACCTGTTTAAAAATATTTTTTAATCTGTTAAAATAATTACCCTGAAAGAGTGTCCTCTAAAGTGTAGAAACCATCTTTTATGTGACTGTAATCATGAACAAAGCCTTTTGTGCCAGACCAAAACAAAGCCTAAACAAAAAGAAAAAAGCCTAAACAACAAAGCAAATTACATCAAGCACCCCAACATTTTATTTTAGTTATATTGAGTTATATTAAGATATTTTTGTTTATTTGCAAGTGTATTTAGTAAGAGGATTAAATAGATAGCCAGTAATGTAATAGCTTTGTGAAATTCTTTTGATGATGTGTTTCAAATCAAGATTTTATTCAAATCGTAATACTGGATTGATTTGATTGATTGACAGTAGCAACATTTTTGCAAAACTCCTTAGGAGTTTGCTAAAATTTTTCAAAAGATAAATTAGAGTTATGTAAAAATCAGGGCTTTGGAGCAGCTTCGGAGCCGGAGCTGGAGCTATCCAGAGCTTGTGATTTTACATGTAGCTGAGCCAGAGCTGGAGCTAAAATATTTCCTGTTGGAGCTGGCTCCTGAGCCAGCTTCTAGCCAGCTCCACTCTTTGATATTTTAAAATATAAAAGTTTTATAAAGTTGTTATTTTATACGAGATTTTTTTTCAAAAAATTCAAACAATTAGGCTAATTAAAATATTTAAATTTCTAAATATAGCATTTTATCATATGCTTTATAAAAAAACAAAAAGGTAAACTAGCAATCATTATAATATTAAATGTTTTATAATATTATGATATAGACATGACAACTGCGCAATATTTTTAGTTTACTTTCAAAAAATCATAAGCATTTTTTGAGAGATTTTTATCAGATTATTTTGTGTAATATGTCATGTGGTTCATATTGTTGAGTATGATAAGTTACTTTAAAACAATATTTCTAAACAATATCAATGATTGGTTAACGAAAATATACTTTATCCATTTCTTAAATTATATGATTTTTTTTAACTTTTTTAATTAGTTAAAACAATTTAAAAAAAGATTTAAACACGCAAGAAAATTATAAAAAGATTTTAAAAGGGTTTTTTTAAGATTATTGATATTATTTTTGTTTATACTATTTTTTTATTATTTCTATCTTGAAAATTAATAGTTTTTTGTTTTTACTTTTATTTGAAAATATAGCTTTTTTAATTGTATGTTTATTTATGTTTGTGTGAGTTGCCATAACATGGCAACTCACACAAACATAATTTGTGTTAATTTTAATTAGTTAATCGAAAATAGAATAAAAATAATCAATGAATAATAAAGTTTTTAATTGAATATTCAGATGATGGAAATTTTTAAGATAAAGCCTTGCAGATGAAGAACAAGAGAAGTTTTTACAACAAGATACAAATGAGGGAGAAAGTGCAGTAGCATGGGAAGAAAATGTAGCCTTTGTCCTTCCAGAATGATGTCATTAATTGTCTCATGACATTAAGTTGATGCGCTGTGTTATTCACACTTTGCAGCTAGCTATTAGCAATGCTTTAAAAAAACCATATATTGCCCAAATATTAGCTAAAATCCATTATATTGTAAAGAAACTAAGAAACTCACATACAATATCATTGGCAAGGAAGCAATACAAGGTCATTCCAATTTTGGATGAGACACGCTGGGGTTCTACATTCTGGATGATTGAATGATTATTACTTTTGCGTCAACTGTGTGAGTAATTTGCTTTAGTTGATCAGATATTCTTTTTACACCCTGAAATATAGAATGAGTTGAATCATCTTTGCAACTTTTTAAAAAGCCGTATGATAAGACAGTTAAACTTCAAGGAATCAACATCAATACAAGGAGAATTCCTAAAGAAATGGTTGAAATTGAAATCTGACCTAGGGAAGAATCAAGGACTAATTGCGGAAGACATTTCAAAAATCAATGCAGTAGCGAGAAGAAAAACTTTTTGACATATTTCTAGGTGCAGTTTATGTTGATGCCAGATATAGAATACTGTTGGAAGAAAACCAAATAATACAAGCAAAAAACAAGGCTTAAAAACAGTAGCAGAAAAAATTTATAAAAAAGATGCTAAAAGTATGATAGAGAGTCAAATAACAAAAAAATACTGCAGAGCCATCTACAACACTTCTTTCAGTTTTAAGTGAATCTAATTCTGATGGAGAAGAGGATGAGTTTGAAAACGAGCTTGATAAAAAAAAAAAAAAAGAAGTTTGTTTTAATGATAAAAATACTTTTAATACTAATTTCACGAATGATTGTAGGGTAATGGAAGAAATGGGACATTTCAAAGTAAAGTCAGTTTTTGAGGGGATTGAAGAATACCCAAAAAGAATACAAGAAGTGTGCAGAGTTGTCACTTGTATGCCTGTCTCACAAGCAAGTGTAGTGAGGCTATTTTCTGCACTAAGTTTATATTGAGTGATCTGTTTAAGTTTATATTGAGTGATCTGTGTTAAGTTTATATTGAGTGATCTCTTCACTTAAACCAGATATTTTAGATAATATTTTATTTTTAAGGATGAATCAAGATTTTGATTAATAAAATATTAATAGCACTTAAGTTACAGTCATAAAACAATATTTTTTTTTTTTTTTTTTGCATAGTCGCTCCAGAGCTGCTCTAGAGCTGGAGCCAAAAATTATAATGGAGCCAGAGCTAATTTTCAGACCTCGGCTCCAAAACCCTGGTAAAAATTATTGCAGTTGTTAAATTCTTTAAACTACTTCATAGAATCTTTTTAGAACTTATTGTTTGAGATTAGCAGTGTCTATCTATCTATCTCTGTTGATTTTAACTAATCAACAGAGATAGATAGGGGGGCCCTATTCTGAATCAATTTATAGAATCCTCAAAAATATTTCAAATGAAAAACCATTATATAATATATATATCAGGCCTTCTCAGGAGACGCGTGCGGTCGAACGCCTTGAATGACCACGCATATATTTTTTTGTTGATAACATGGCCACAACTTTTTTTGCATTTATTAAAAATGGCGCATCTCAAAAACGCGCTGAAAAAACAAAATTAATTGCTCATCTTTTTTTAACTATTTTTAATAATTCATTATTATAGTTATTAATGAGAAAATAAAAACATTAAAATAACATATATGGGCAATTCCATTTTTAACTTACGTTACACGCGCAACAACTTTAACAAATATTAGCTTATTTAAACTTTTAAATTAAACTTTTAGCAATTTTGTATGAAAGCTGTTAGTCTAATAAATAAAATAAGCTTAAAAGTTTTGAGTTCCGCCAAAAGAGAGCAAACTTATTACTGAAAATGCCACTTGCACTTATGTTACACGGAAAACAAGGTAAAAAAACAAATTCAACTTATAGGTCTCATTTCTGCAAATCAGTAAAGCAGTTTGTATTAGAAACTTTTACAAAATGCAGATAATTCTATACCAATGTAAAATTTTTATAAAAACTTTTTTAAAATAAACTTGTTTTTTTGATACTGTATTTTTTTACTTAAATTACATCACTTACATTATCGAGCGGTTTTCATGATTTTTTTAATCTATTATTAAGAGTTAGAGTTACGTAACAAAAGAATTGCATAAGTATTGAACTCATTCATTAAAAATAATTAACAAAGAAATTTAAAAACTGGTGGCACTCTTCCTGAGTGATTTTTCATAACATTCATGAAAATTATCAAACCGGAAATAGTTTTTCGCAAGACCAAGAGCAACTTCAGAAAAATATTTTAGTTTTACATCTTTATTATTACTTAATTGAGTAATTGGTTTGTCAAAGTTTTTATTTACACTTCTTACGTTTATGTGTATTACTTTATTTTTATAAGATTGAATTTTTATAATGCTGCTAAGTTAAATTTTTAAATATTTAAATCTTTTCTAAACAAAATAATAGTACATAAAATGTCAACCAAAATAATAGTACATAAACAAACAAAAAAAAACAATAAAATAAATAATTTTAATACATATTAATACATATAAAAAAAAAAAAACTTTTTTTTTAATTCTCCTTATATAAAAAGTTTCAGTTAAAACCTTGTCAAGCCAACAGGAAGACATAATAATTACTTAATGATGTAATTCATTTAGTAAACAAAAACTTAACGAAAAATTGCCAGAATTTTATTAAATGCATGAAAACAAATAAAATATTTATATATTATTTTTATCTTTTTATTTTATCATTAATTACAAATATATATATGTGCATTATTGTTAGGTTTTTATTTTCTCATAAATAATTATAATAATAAATTATTATTAATAAAAAAAAACCAATAAGATAACTAATTAGTTTGATTTTTTCAGCACGTTTTTAAAATGCGTCATTTTTAATAAATGCAAAAAAAATCTTGGCCATGCTATCAACAAAAAAATATATATGTGTGGTCATTCAAAGTGTGCGACCGCATGCGTCTCCTGAGAAGGCCTGTATAATATGTATATCATTAAACTGTTCATTGTTTATCCTTGTATCTTCAATTTTTTAGTTTAGCGATACAGCTTTTATACAGATTTGTTTGAATTCCTTCATACAGAACTAATCTGGGCATTTAGTGTTGTAATCAATAATAATTGTGCAAATAGAACTTTACAAAATGTTAATAATTGTCTAGAGAGAACATTTGTGTAGCATTCATAACAATTGTAAAAGTATTACTTTTTAATATATCTCTAGAAACCCTAGCTAACATTTTTTGAACCCATTTTGGGGCCCCTATAATCATGGGGCCCCCATTTTTAGACTAACTAGGCTGCAGCCTAGTTAGTCTAAAAAAAGGTGAAGCCAGCCCTGCTTATCATGTGTATTTTTTTAAATTGAGTTCCACCACAAATACCAATATTGACATTCCTTTTATCAGTAGTTGCCAAAACCAACTTTGTATAAAATCTGTATTTCTTTTGTTTAATATCATAAAAAATAAGAATAATGAATGGCTAGTGTTTTTTTTTTTTTAGTTTGCAATTGTTGCATAAATCAAAATCAGCACTATTTCAGCTGTTTAGACAGGCCAATATCTAAATAACATTTTAATAATAAAGGATCTCAAATTTTACAAAGATTTTTGTTTCCAATTGAACAATTCTATTCTTAATATAAAACAAACTTAATTCAAACCTCCATAGACATAATTTATAACCTCCAAAGCTAGGATCATTACTATCTGATGTTTAAAAAAACATTAAAGTTATCTTTACTTACTAAAAACAGAATATAAAAAAGAAATTTAAATTAAGTTTGCAGAAAAATATATATGTGACACAAGTAATTTTAGAAGAAAGATAAATAAATATATAACTATATAAGGGATGGTGTGTGTGTGTGTGTGTGTGTGTGTGTGTGTGTGTGTGTGTGTGTGTGTGTGTGTGTGTGTGTGTGTGTGTGTGTGTGTGTGTGTGTGTGTGTTAATAAACAAAGGGGGTGGAAATTTTAGTACATATCTAATAAATGAGGGGTCCTTATAAAAGAGTGGCTAGGAATTTTTCTTAAATCTAATTTCAATTTAATAATAACTAACAATTTTAAAACAACTAACAAAAAAATCTAAAATTTGTTGTCAGCCTAAAATCAAATAATCAAAAATTTAAATTAATATATATTTTTTACAGTATAGTTTAATATTTTATATATATATATATATATATATATATATATATATATATATATATATATATATATATATATATATATATATATATATATATATATATATATATATATATATATTTTAACATCTTCGCTTCCAACAAGGCTGCAAGCAACCACTAATTAGTGTTGGAAGTTACTGGAAGAGAAAAGATGAAGATTGTAGAGGAAGAGAAAATATGAAGATTGTAGAGCAAGATAAGGATTGACAGACGACTTAAAAGATTGCAAATTGTATGAATCAGGAAAGCAAGATGAAGGAAGCGAATTCCAAAGAACTGATGTTCGAGGAAAAAAACTAGACGAATAAGTAACAGAAAAAGGATGAGACTTAATTGAATGAGGAGTAACACGAGAATGAATTTTAGTAGATGGCACAAGAGACATTAGCTCTTTAGAGCAGTGCCTATTATAGTATTTGTAGAAAAGAGAAAGAGAGGCAACATTACAACGATGTGGCAGAGGATGAAGGTTTCCAAGAAAGATCAGAAGAGAGAGTTAATCCTAGAAGATGAAGGGTAGATGACTCGTCGAGTACATAACCGTTCATAAATATAGAAAGGTCTATATTATTGCGATAACAATTGGCTGAAAAAAATTGAGTTTTATCTGAATTAAAGTTCACCAGCCACTGTGAGCCCCATGCTGTAGCAGAAGTGAGATCCTTTTCAAGCTCAGATGCCCCTGCAAGCAATCAGAGGGAGTTGGCTTCTTATCGTGACAAGAATAAATGGTAGTATCATCAGCGAACAATGCCACCTTAGATGTGAGAAAATCTGGAAGATCGTTAATGTAAATTAAAAAGAGTATAAGGCCAAGGATTGAACCTTGAGGAACCCCTGAGGTTACAGAATAAGAAGAAGAGTGCTGTCCATCAAGGACAACTTTTATACTACGATTGGAAAGGAAGGATTCAAAAATCTTAAAGATGTTTCCAGATACACCGTAAGAAGAAAGCTTATGGAGGAGACCAGCATGCCAAACTTTATCAAAAGCTTTAGAAATGTCAAGAGCGATGGCCTTAACCTCTCTACCTTAACCTAATGCGCGATAAAACCTATCGGTTATTACTGTTAGCAAATCAGCCGTAGAACGAGAAGATCGAAATCCATATTGATGATCAGAAAGTAGGTTATGAGATTCGAGATGTGAGATTAAGTGTTTGTTAATTAAAAAAAACTTTGCTTATGATAGGAAGAAGACTAATAGGACGGTAGTTAGACAAATCTGATCGCTCTCCAGAATTTTTAAAAATAGGGATAACAGATGCTGTTTTCCAGCAGGCTGGAAAACAAGACTCTGATAAGCACTTGTTGAATAGTTTTGAAAGGATAGACCACAGCTCCGGAGAACACTTCTGCAAGACTATAACGAGTATATTGTCCGGGCCGCAAGCTGTAGAAGAGTCTAAGCAGGAAATCACTTTAGATACAGAAGCTGGAGTGATTTGGATGTCGAGCAGTGAATTAACCTGTTTGACGGCTATATCAGGTAGAACGCAACTAGTGGAATCCAGAGATGATATTGCTGAAAAGTTCTTGGCAAACAATTTAGCTTTGTCTTTAGGTGAGGTGACAAAGTCTGAACCGTACAAAAGAGGTGGAATTACAGAGTTGCCTTTATTATTGATACTATTAAAGATTCTCCAGAAGTCACGAGAGCCTATTTTTGTGATGAAATATGAGATTTCATGATCTGAGAATAACGGGCTTTAGCATTAGACAAAACCTTTTTACAATGGTTCCTAGCAGTAATAAACAGACGTCTGTTTTCTGGAGAATTGTTTTGCTGATAGATACGGAAGTAATGGTTTCGATTGGCAATTGCAGCAGCACAATGTGAGGAAAACTATGGAGAAGAGTAAGGCTTGACCTGGAATCATCGAGAGGGAATAAAGGATTTCATGCCAGCCTGAATCCACAAAGTTACATAAGAAGTCAACAGGAAGACGAAACCCAGGGGCCATCACAAAGGAAGACGAAAGGGGCCATCACAAAGGAAGACGAAACCCAGGGGCCATCACAAAGAAAATCACGGAAAGACCCCCAGTCAGCTTTAAGGTAGTTGTAAGATGTACAATGATAGGGGGATTCTGATGGTAAAGAAGAATGAGATAATAGTTTTAGAGAAACCAAACCATGATCAGAAGCACCTAAGGGTGAGTGTGGTGAAACTGAGCACTGACTAGGATTAGAAACAAGACATAAGTCAAGTAGAGAAGGTCAATGATTCGGGTTGTCTGGAAAGCGAGTTGGTAAGTTGACTATTTGAGTTAGGGATTAAGAAAGGCAAAAGTTGTAGGCCTTAATGTCTGCGGAGTCACTGACACTAGAGCCAAGCCATTCAGTGTCATGAACATTAAAGTCACCGACAACAAAAATATTGGCTGATGGATAAAGAATGAGGGCTTGGTCAATATAATCAGAAAGAACATCAAGAAGAGTGCAGTCTTGAGATGAAGGAGAGCGATATAGAACAAAGAGAAAGGTGATAGAGTGAAGTGGTGCTAAACGAAAGCACATAAAAGAGTAGTCTGTGGATTCAAACCTAGTTTCCCAACAAATGGGTGAATTCTTACGAATGTAAATGCCTAGGCCAAGCATGTGGCTATTGGAGTCTTTACGAATTAAAGGAAGAAAACCATCAACACTAAGATCACAAGATGAGACAGCTGAACTCAAATTAGTCTCACAAAGAGCAAGTAGGTCTGGTGAACTTTGCAAGAGATAAAACTCAACAGAAGAAAAGTTACTTTGTAGACCACGAATATTGGTGAATGATAGGTTTAGCGAACTTGGTGATGACTGTGGTTTTTTGTGTTTTATAGTTTTTGTTACTTTATTCATTTTTAAATTTGTTAAAGAACTTGACTCAAAACATAGATAGTACTCAGTACACTGTTTTATAGCCCATTCTGATATTTTTCAGCTGTTGATGGAATCAGCCTTTCTGATAGCTACCACAGAGTTCGGGAAACCTGACTACCAGCTGGCCTCAGAACCATAAAACTGCTGTACCTTCATTTGAAGATAATAGAATGAGTTCCCTAGTCATAAAAACAGAGACATAAGCAAAACCCATGCATCGAGTCAAGAAGATCAACATCCTAAACTGGAAACAATGTATTAAAAATACATCTGCGCCAGCCTAATAGATGGAGAAGGGGTGCGAGGCTGGTCAACAGATAGAATCTGTTTACCCCTTAAGTCTTTGCCTAGGAGGCCTTCTACAAGACAGCAGCCGGATGCATTTAACATCTGCCCAAGATGAGTATTTTTATAGAGACACCATCTCTAGCCTTTACTCAACCAAGAGCCCCAAGGCAGGGGATGTTTTATGTCGGAGTTTGCATCTCCTAGCCTTTGCCTAAAAAGGCATATCCTACAAGGCAGCAGGACATGAAGCAAATTGTACTGGGTTACATGTTACCAGTAGCAGGATAAACCTGACTTGACAATAGTTTTTATATATATATTATATATATATATTTATATATATATATATATATATATATATATATATATATATATATATATATATATATTAATATATATATATATATATTAATATATATATATATATATATATATATATATATATATATATATATATATATATATATATATATATATATATATAAATACAATAAAGTTAATAATTATAAATATATATAATATGATAAATACAAAAATTTAATATATTATAATTATTATTAAATTTTTGTATTTTTAGTATTATATATATTTATAATTATTAACTTTGTGTAACTGACATTTTGTTTTGTTCAATGCCTTAAGTTTCCTAATATTGATACTTAACATATTTACCAAGCATTAATCTGAAGAGGTAGAATGTTAGACACCTCTCTCAGACCCTTTAAGTTTATGGATGATAGAAAAAAACAATAACAAAATTCTTATATATGTTATGTTTGAGCCAATTTTTGAAACATGTTTTATTAAACAATAGACTTTGTATTTGCATAAAAATCTCAGATTTTGGCAGTATTTATATGTTGAAGCCCAAATCAGTTAAATGGTTGATATTTTCATTTCTAAATTGTGTTTGTCTTAATACACATAAAATCTTTCACACTCATACAAATTTTTCTTTTAAAAAAAAATTGTTTGGTGGATTTTTGCTCAGATGTCAAATAACTTGTGACTAGGTTTTTGGTATCCAGAAAAAGGTTTTTCAATTTTATTTATAAAGGAAATATCAATATGTAACATGTATTTGACTTCATACATAACAAAGAAAATAGTTCTTTATTTAGCTTTTATACATACAATACACTCTGGCGATAAGTGTATATCGAAATATATTGAAAATAAAAGCTTTCAATTAACACATTGTTAACATTTGTCAGTATGATGTAAACTATTAGGGAATTAAACTTTTTATCGTCAATAATATGGTGATTATTGTGATGATTATTTTAAAAAACATTAATAAATACCTGGTTGTTCAGCAATTTTTTATTGTTTACTATATTGAAAAACTCGTTGTAACTGGATTCATCAAACTTGTCTGCACAAGAATCTTTATAGGCAAAGCTTTTTTTAAATGTGCCTCCAACTATATTGCAATCTACATCAACAAATAGAGACGGATTGCGACTATCAGGATCAAGTAACTTGTACACTAAACAACGCCCGTTTAGGATCTTCTCAATTTCTGGTGTTGTACCATTGTAGTTCCAAGGATTGTACGACCAAGCGGTAAAATCACGATTTATGTGCAAAATCAAAATTATCAAAAAACCGTGATTAAGCATACTTTAAGATATCTAAAATATATATCAAGTTCTTTTTTGTTTTTATCACAAACTAATCTTTAAAAAAAAATTAGAAGTTAAAACTTCGCAATTTATAACTTTTTTTAACAGGCTACGTACAAATTAGCTTAACTAAATAAATAACAAATATTTGTGTAAAAAGTATTGTATTTTACACACGTGAAGTTGACTGATGCGTAAAGCATTTGAATGTCACGTTTTTACAGAGCTGAGAATTTCTATGAAATAGTTGAAAACGCTACCTTCCATTTCTTCGGGAACCAGAAACCGCTACCACTTTTCCATTACTTAATCAAACTCTAAAATGAATAGAGTTTAAAATGTTGTTGTTGTTGTTGTTGTTGTTTTTTTTTTGTTTGTTTTTTAATTATTAAAAATGATAGGTGTTTTAACGCATTTTAACAGGAATTCAAACTAGCGAAACCTAGTGTTGGGCTTTTTTGATGTCATTTGCCACCACACTCCTTCTGTTTTATGTATTCCATACCCTCTGGCCCTTAACAGCTGGCTTTAAAAGCCTGCAAGTTCATTTTCTGAGCTGCACAACAACTGTGTTTTGGTAGAATGATTTCATCGTTGCAACTTTCCTTAAACAAGAAAAGCGTCGAGTTGACCAGCTTAGGATCCACCTTCGCTCTCTGTTTTTCCTATTCGACGTAACCAAATGGGTAAAAGCATTAACATAGTTTTAACAATTGTCTGTAATTGTCTAAAAAACCAAACTTCAGTTGACTACAACACTAGTTTGCAAAATATATTCTGAAACTAGAAACAGTTATCAGCTGACGGTTTTTGAAATAAGGGGCTGTCCATTAATTACGTCAACAAAATAGGGGGAGGGGGTCTGAATTTTTTGACAAGAGGGAAGGGGGAGGTCAAGTAAAGTTGACGTCAACACTTTATTTTTATTAATTTAACTATTTAAAAAAAAGAAAAATTAGGCAGCGTTTGCGGTCCTGTGTTACTTAGTCGCTCAACCTTCAGTATTTTAATTTCTATCCTATAATTTATATAGGTGAGTCTATTAGCACGCACGTGTGAATAGAATATAATATATCATTGTCTATTCGCACTTTAAAAAATTTTTTAAGTATCCCTAGATAAGCAGTCACTTTGTATATACACTACCGTGCGAATAACCTTCAAAAGTCAGTCAACGTAAGTACTGCGTTAGTACTGTACTGCGCTAGTTTAATATTAAATTTAAAAACCAATAATAATAAATCTAATTTTTTTAAATTCCCTTTAAATTCGATGATCTTTACCTTTTTTTAATTAAACATGCAAATAGACTATAATAAATTATAGTCTATTCGCACGTGAAAAACGCGCGAATAGTCGCTCTGAATTTACATTCCTACTTTTTAAAATCTGTTTTGTGCTTTAAAAAAACCTGACATACAGAACTAAATAACTACACACAAGATGTTTACTCGTAACGCTATTATTTTTTCAAAGTTATTGTTGTCTCAGTCAGCTGTGCATTCAAAAAAGATTCATGTAAGTACATTGTCTACATTATATTGTTTAAACATTTATACAAAGGGTACAACCTGCGGCTCGCAAGCCTCTTGTGATTCTTTCGATGGCAAGATGAAGGTCTTTAGCTGCATCTTGACATCGAAATACTATTATCTTGACATGCACAAATATTAGTATGATCAGGGATGCGGAAATAGAGACATAAAACCGGAGTCCTAAAAGGACTCCGGTTTATATCTCTATTTTTTACTGGTCTCTGGTGTCCAAAAGCTCTGAACACGTTTGTTGATTTATGATCTGCTAAATAAAAAAAATTTATGAAATTTAATGACTCGAAGCATATTGTTTTTAAGCCCGGAGTCCTAGAATCCTAGCCACCATTATACCTAAAGACTCCGGGTTCAAAAAGAGATTGTTCCTCTAACCTAAAAGTCTTAATTTTTTTACCAATAGTAATCCATAAGCGTTTTTATATTATTAGAGCTCCTGGATACCAAAAACTAGGAAGAAGTAATCTTTTTGTGACATTCAAATCTGGAAATTTTTTCGTGACTCCGCATCCCTAAATATAATATTAAAATAAAGATGTTGGTAGCTCTTTAAAAACTGAAAAACTTTGTATATTGTAACTTTTAGCTTTTCCGTCTCAAAAGGTTACCAACCCCTGGTTTATACAATTTGTTAAATGCTTTTTTTGTTATTCTAGGCTCTATTAAAAATAATTGGATTTCACTGTAAATTTGTATTAGGTCTAATGTTAGTGAGAAGAATTTAACTAATTTGAAATATGATTATAATTTAAACGTATAAGCATTTTTGTGAACCTTTTAATCTATTTTTCTTAAGAGTAGTTCTTTGTATTTTTAAACTGGAATTATGTTTATGAGTTAAAAGTTTAAATTTTTTTTTCAATACCTTTTACTTTTATTCACTTTTTGTTCAGAGCAAACATTTGTAATTATAAATGATTATATTCATTTAAAATATGTTTAATAAGTTAAAATTTGAATACAGTTTTTTTTTTCTAAACATTTTACTTTGAACCACTATTTTGTTTTAGTTATAAACTAGTCAATTTAAAACATTTTTTTTTTCCATCTTAATTTTTTTTTTTTTTTTGGGGGGGCGGGGGTAAACGAATGTTGACGTAATTTTATAGGGGGTCTCCTAAAAGTTTGACAAGTTGTTAACAAGGGGGAGAGGGGAGGTAAAAATTGCCAAAAAATTGTAGATGTAATTAATGGACAGCCCCTAAAGAGTGTATGATGCTAAGAAAGGAGTTAAAAAAAGCCCAGTTTGGGCTTCTTTTAACTACTTGACACTTGACTTCTTGATATTTTTTTTTGAGAATAAAAATTATGAATAAAGGAACCTCACCGTTAAACGAAAATATTTTGAAAAGCTGAAAATAAAAAATGACAAGAATAAATATTATTTTACGTCAAGAAATTTCTAATGTAGAAAACATTACATTGTTTATAATTTCTTACGATAAAAAATTTGCAATTGCTCTTCACTTGCATTTTTAAAAGTTGTTGGTAAACCAATAAGTCGACTTTTCTATCATCTCATTGATGAATTTTTTTATCTCATAAGATACATTAATAAAAAAATACATTAATGATAAAAAAAGTTGAGATTAACGCTTATGTATGCATAATATAGTTAGTACATCAAGCTATTTGCAGACATTTTATATAAAGCACAAATGCCGTTTCTTAAAATAAAAGCAAATTACACACATCTAAGATTTTATTGATTACACAAGAAAATTTAGTTGATTACACAAGAAGATTTCAAAAGGTTCATTCTTTCACATTACTTTCAATAAAGGTCAAAGTCTTCAATTAAAAAAATTTCAATAGTATTTCTAAATCGTAGCGGAGTATTTCTAAATCGATTTTAAATCGTAGTAGAATAGCATTTTAGATTTTTGTTGTTGTTGTTATTGCGGCCTAAGTCCGCGACCCAAAAAAAATACTGAGCTACCAAACAGAAAAGTCTGCTTGTAGCAGAGCTGTTGAAATGCAGTCAGCTCTGCGTTTTTATCATAAGTTTTTATATTACAGGGTAAATCATTTACGGTGCAAAGGAAGGTCGGTGTAGTATGAGATTTTTATTCCCCAGTGAGGTTCCTTTATTCATAATTTTTACTAGCAAAAAGCAACCCGTAATACGAGTTACGGTCGGTCTGTTACATAACTAATTTATAGTGGCTGGTATCCACAATTTAATGTTGCAAAACCCTAACTAACACCCTTTTAGAAAAACGCCTTTAAATTGAAAAAATTAATCCATCTGTAAAATTAACATAAAAAATATGAGGAGGTAAAATAATTTACCAAATACTACTTATTTGAGTAATTTACGACTGACATAAGTCATAACAGTGTAAAGCGGAACCATTTTCCTCGACACTCCTAAGTTCAACACAATACGTTTTTAGTTACTGACACAAAATAATAACACTTCATCATGCTTTAAATTAACGACAGTATCAACCTTGTAATAATTTTTATAACATGAACTATTAAGATTAAGCTGAAGTTAACTTATATTATACAGGAGTTATCTATTTTTTGGTATCCCCTTGATTAATTTTTTTTAGAAAAGAAAACTGTTAACTTAAAACGTTAAATGTACACAACTAAATAAATTTATTAAAAATAACTAAGTTCATTATAAATAACTAAGCAACTGAGTACATATACGTTTAAAACAAAAAAAATTTAATTTACAATCCAACATTTGTATAACAAATTTTAAAAAATTTGTAAACTGTGATCTTTTATATTGCATTAATGCGTCATATGACAACCCTAGATAAGTAGACATAAAAATTTGTAAACCAAGCTGACCGGACCAAGGTCTTGTTAAGTCTGCTCAACACAGACCATTTCTATATTATTTGTTTGGCCTCTTTATTTCATTAATTTTTAGTAAACAGTAATTTGCTACCATTTACTAAAAATTCCTTGAAATTCAGTTTTCCTAAATATTTTGACACTAATAAAGAGGTTCATTCCGTCTTTTTGCTTTAATGGTGCCCAGGTGAGTAGAGTTTTTTTTTATTAAGAGTAATCAAGTTTTTAATGAAGACCTTTTACCAAAATAATAAAATGTAAAACAATAATTTACATATATAAGAATGTTTTCTTTCTTTCCTCAAAAGTGTTGCACATGCTGACTAAGCTAAATAATTAGTTAAACACGTAAATAAAACTTATTATTAGGCATAAAATTGATAAAATATTAAAAAAAACTAATTGCATATATTTATAACTAACAAAAATTTACAATAAAAAGAAATCAGTTTCTTTTTTTTTATAATGCGTCATAACGTAAATCTAAAATAAAAAAGTAATGGAATTATGATATCATAATTACAAAAAAAAAAAAAAAAACCACATAAAAACGAAAAATCGATTTACCTATTTATAGTAACCTATTTTGAAATTGCAGTTAATATAATTAATATAAACATTTCTCGAAAATGCAACTATAAAATCTGTTTCAAAATACAAAAGGATTAGCAATACTAAAAAAAAAAATCAAACTAAGATATATATTGCATTTTTAGTCTTGGCCTATAGTAAATTAAAAAAAGCAGTAAGTTCCAATGATGAAACTACCTTTTATTTATTTTTAACAAAAGACACCATCTGTAAGGTGAGCTAAGCTGTCTATCAAAACAAAACATCACAACAACAACATTAAAACAATAACACATAACAATAAAATCCAGTGAGAATGAAAAACTAAATTAAAATATGAAAGGCAAAATTAAAAAACCAACTTATAGTTAACTATATTTATCTTTTTACTAAACTTTAATAAAGTATATTTGTTTTTATATTCAATATTTGTTATTCAACTATTTCAAATTTAGGTCATTAAAGCACCCTAGATTTAAAGATTAAGGTTGCATACTCTCTTATAAACATTACGCTAAACATTAACAGACTTTATTATGTGTCCAGAATAATTAGAAAAAGGGTAGACAACACAACCTAGCTTTATAGCAGTAACACCGCCTGGCACTAAATGCTGCTAAGCCACACCTCTCCTAAAAGTACACTGCTTGGCTGGCAAGGTTATCAAACTTGCTCAACGTAATACCAAGTCACACCACTTTGAAAACATGGAAACAACATAATTTAAATTTATATACAACTTTAAACAAATATAAATTTATATAACACATATAAACGCATTCTATAATAATATTAAATGACAGATATATTTATCAAAAACTATGAAAAACCTTTAGTAAATTTTCGAAATGAAAATCTAAAGACTATAAAAAGAACATTAGAAAATATAACATTAATTGTGTTACACTTTTCACCTACCATACCTTGAATTGGATGTTTATCAATTTTGAAATAGAAACTATTAAATTCTCTAGTTCTTGAACATGCAACATATGGTTGACCATGAGAGAAACACGGTTTTTGAGATATGTTTTTTGTCTGAGTTTAAATAAGTTTAATTTTGCGTTACGTAATATATGGACGATCCCTAAAGTAAAATACTCGAAACTAAAAAGATTTTATTTATTACAATATTTGAACAATATCTATGTATATATATATATATATATATATATATATATATATATATATATATATATATATATATATATATATATATATAAATATATATATATATATATATATATATATATATATATATATATATATATATATATATATATATATATATATATATATATATAATAGGGTGTACCAAAAACGAACTTTTTTTCTCCCCCAGGATACTTCTCAACGTTTTCCCATTCTCTGAAGTCCAAAAAAATTTTGTTGACAGGAAGTAATAGCTGTAAAGTTCGAAAATAATTTTTTCGAAAATAAGCGTTCGTTACATGAATGTTGAATTAATATGTAAAGAAATTTATTTTAACTTTTATTTTGCTTTTAATTAAGTTAATATTTATGCCTAAGTCGAATAGTGATATGATTTTTAAAAATGGTAATGAATTTTTAAATGGGCTCGGGTATGTTTAGGCAAAAAGTTTCGAGAGGCTCGGAACTATGCTTAAGCTTACAAAAACGCGCGTTTTCTCGTAAGTCTTGTAAGAATAAATAAACTTGCTTTGAATCTGATACATAAGTATTTTTATTTTGCATTAACAAAAAACAACTTCATTAAATGGTTTTTGTGCATCAAGCATCGAACACCTATAAAAATTCCGTTACTAATAGATTTGTGCTAAAAAACATGCGTAGTTTAGAGTAGAGCTCAGCAAAAAGGTGTACCAGAAACAGGTTTTTTTCTAAATAATAACAGAAAACTATAACAGTATACTGCTATAGTTTTCTCTTATATATATTCACTAATAACAGAAAACTATAACAGTATACAGTATACTGTTTCCTGTAAAAAAAAATTCAATTAACAAGCTGCCACGAGCAGCTAATTGATAGAATGTTTTAATCAGCTCCCTGGCATTTGAAAACATCAGATATACAATTTTATAAATAAATACTGATAACTGTTTTAAAATCATTTACGGTTTAAATTTACTAAGTCTGTTCTAGCTTGTTCTCAAATTTGAGACCTTTAAAGGTTTCCTGGCAAATATCTTATCTGCAAGAGTGAAACATTTAAAAATCTGCACTATGTGCAAATTCTCTTTTAATGGGTGCGTGGAGCAAAATTCAACATATCATTCAATTATATTGACAACATAAATGACATCAATCTTTTGATCAGATTAATCTAGATTTTTTCTATATGCTGCGACATCACTGCTTCCAACACTCCTTTACAAAAGTATTTTTTGCAGTTTATGCCATCTTCACAACCTTCTCTGTTCTGATTTATCTGCAAGCAACACATGTTGGAATTACACATTTCTCATTTTGTGGAGAACCTCACTAGTAGGAAAATAAAATAGGACAGAAAAGCACTTTATGTAAGACCAGATAAAAGCTGGTCACTCAGAACAAGGTGGATAAGACGGAGCGCATCAGGTTTGGTTAGAATAGGTTGCAGATTAGGTTGTTTTTAAGGTGGTACAACAATAATACAAGAGATACATTACAAATACATTACACCATTACAAGGGAGGCTCTGGAGTTCGTCAAGAGGCCACCCAGTGGGCACAGGACGCAGTGGCGGATTATCAAATTATGGGCCTATAGGCTTAACTAATTCATGGGCCCTATATACCTATATTTTTCTAAAAAATACGTCAAAAAGTACAATTTTAATTTTATTTATAATAATAATATCTATAATAAAATCTAATTTTATTTCAAAATTACAAACAAATTATCAGGTATATTAGATACTAGTATATATTTTATAAATGGCTGACCAAAAGAAAAAAACAACACGATCAAAAATTCATTTTTCTGCATTTTCGTTCAACAAAGTCTGATAAAATTTCATTGAAGTCACAGCTTCTTAGGATGTCAGATTCAGTACACATAACAGTAAGGGAATTCAGTTTGTCATCACCCAAAGCACTTCGCCGATAGTTTTTTATCCGTTTCAATGCAGAGAATGATCTTTCATCACTGCAGTTGGTGATCATCAAACTGAGGTATATGTGAAGTGCTGTGGCAACATTTGGAAATATATCTTGTAGTGCACTGCTGTTTCTCAAAGCCCGATACATATACAGCTCTATGCTACATTTCAGTTCTTTCTCATTCTGTTGCAAGTACGTATCAGCTAAAAAATATTCTTTGAAGTGAAGTATTTCATCTTCAAATGACTCTTCCAAATCATCTACATAAGTATCTATCAAGTTTCTACTGGCTCTTCGCAAATCAGACTGTTCCAGTGATCGAATGTTTCTCAGAAAACCAAACTTATCACATACACCACTGTATGCCTCACTGTATACACCACTGTATGCCTCAGCTGATCCATCATGACGGGTTAATTGAACACTTCGCTTTCGTTTCCTCTGATTCTCTTCTTTATAAGAAGTTGACCCTGTTACTTCCTTTCCTTTCTTCTCAAAGAAATCAAACTGTGCTCGAAGTGAATTTACATATTCTTTTAGTGAAGTTAACAGTTGAACAGCCTCATTTAGATCAAGTTGTGGACTTTGCAGTTTTAAACTGGTCTTATGAAAGCGATCTAATATGGGTGTCCAGAGTTCTAATAAAATTCCATATTCTACCTGATCCATCTTCTTTGCAATTCCTGCAGCTGTAGTGCGAGCTTCAACCTTCTCCTCGGGGTCCTCAGCAATGTTCTCTAACACTGTCTTAACATTTTTAAAGCCTTTGCTCAATGCTTTAGTTGCTGCAGAATGTGCTGACCATCGAGTATCAGAAAGGCGTTTTAGAACTAACTGGTTACTATCCAATCCTTTGGTTAGAAGCTCCGACCGTTGGGTTGATGCATTTAAAAAGACATACAAGTTTTGTACAAAATCAAAAAATCCACTCACTGTTGTCACGCAGTTTACAGCTGATGCACCAACTAAATTAAGGGAGTGTGCAAAACATGGCACATATTCAGCCAATGGGCTCTTCTCTCGAATGCGTGCCTGTAACCCTGAATATTTTCCTGCCATATTGCTAGCATTATCGTAGGACTGACCTCGGCAATATTTTATATCCAACTTTGCTTCTTCCAGAAAGCTGTATAAACTGTTAAACAAATCTTCTGCTCCATGTCCTTTCATGCTTAAAAATTGCACAAACCTTTCTATAGGGCCATTGTTCAAAACATATCGAAAGACACATGACAGCCTATCAACATGAGATATGTCTGGAGTAGAGTCAACAGAAATCGAATAAAATTTTGCTCCACGTATTTCAGACAATATTGTTTTCATAACTTGCTTTCCCATGACATCAATTAACTCATCACAAATTGTTGATGACAGGTATGAAACAGAGCCTTTCCCCTTACCACCATGGTTGTCAATATGACTGGAGAGGAATGGATCAAACTGAGCAATCAACTCCAAAATTCCCAAAAAATTGCCATTAGAACTTGACCCCAATATTTCAGTATGTCCTCTAAATGCGAGCCCTCTTTCAGCAAGGAATTTGATAACTGAGACAACTCTTTCTAGCACAGATTTTGCATATGCACATTCCTGTCTGTATTGCTCAACTATTGCTGAATCTACACATCCTCTGACTTGTACTCTTTGGCTGAATGTGATTGTTGCATTTCTATGTGCAATGCTGTTTTCATGTGACTGTATTCGTGAAGCTGCATTTTTCCAATCACAAAAACCATTCCTTGAGAATGAATTATCATCAGCAGAAAATAATTTACATACAAAGCAGTAAATGCGAGATGTTGCTGGTGAATAACACAACCATGACCTTGGGACTTTCTCACCATTGCGAGAATGAACACGATAAAAGAGATTCTGTGAGCAGTAACGGGTAGTTACTAAAAATCCGGACAAACTTTCAAGTGCAATTACTCCCAAAGTTTTTATGGTAGAGATTAAATAAAACTATCATTAAAAAGAGTTTTTAGTTATTTATTTATTTTAATTAAGTTTGTCTTCAACCAGTCTGTTTCTTCGGATTCGGCCAACTCTAACACGAGTTGACCCAAAAAGTGAAAATACAAGGTTAAGGTCAATTTTTTTCAGGCAAAGCTTTATTCTGGTTCGTAGTTGTTTCACGTCTTTTGCTTGCCAGTTACTCTCATACACTTTGCCTTTCAAAATAGCCCAAAAGTCTTCGATTGGGCGACACTCCGGTACGGCTGGCGGATTGTCAACTTTTTTGATAAAATTGATGTTATGAGTCTCGTAGCAGCTGGTCACGGTTTTGGCATAATGCGATGAAGCCAGGTCCGGCCAAAATATGTAATTACCATCGGCATGATAAGCGTTGATGAACGGCACTAATCTTTTCCTCATACAATTAATTTCATAGATGGCTTTATTGACTGCAAGGCCGCTGGGTATAAAAAATGGTTTTGAAACACCTTTGTCAGAAGCGGCCAGCCAGACAAGCACCTTGAGTTCGAACTTGCGCTTTTTGCGATATTTAACACTTGGTGGAGTCTTGTCTTTGTTGCTAGAGTAGTAGGTGCTGTTTCCATTAATTTTTGAGTGTGATAGCGTGAAGTAAGACTCATCGTCAAGGATGACCGATTTTCCTTTAAAAACGCGATAAAGACGATCAATGCCAGTTTTGATTCGCTCATTCTGGTTCTCTTGTCAATGAGGTATCCCTTGTTTTGTATAACTTTTGATGTCAGTGTACTTGGCAAGAGTTTTAATGATATGTGAATGACTGCATCCAAATTTTCGACCAGCTTGCCTCATCGAAACTTGGTCACTGTGATCAAATATGGCTTTCAGGCGCTTGATCCTCTTAAGGGTCATGATCTTGGCCACGCGACCACTTCCTTGCACTCTTTTGTGCCCAGAATCATTCTCAACACGTTTGATTATATCATAGATAGTGCTTCTTGGGATTTTTTTAGCATTGAAGTGAGCTACTGTGAACTTTTTACCTTGCAATTTATTATTCAAATAGAACTCGTAAATCCGTTTTCTTACCTCTTCTTGCTTGGTCATCATTATTTTTTAATTATTATTAATTATCTAAGAAAAATTAACTTATAGAGAATTAAATAAGCTATAAAATGGATATAAACATGAATAAAAAAGATTTAGCTTGTGGCATTTAAAATTCAGTTAAAGTTTGTCCGGATTTTTAATAACCACCCGTTATTCCTATGCAAAAAGAAAATGAAGACTATATTGTTTTAAAATATGAGTTTAAACACGTTTTTTTTATGTTTTATTTTGTTTATAAAACAATAATTCTTGACAAATAATGTTTAGTTAAATATGTTTGTTTTAGTTATATTTAGTATATATATGTTATGACTTTACAGGTCAATGGAGAATGGTAACTGTCTTTACAACTCTGCTGCTTTATTAATAAATTCATCAGATAAAGCACATGAAATTCTTTGACTATTAACTTCTGTTGAGTTATTGAAAAAGCAACCTTTTATTAGAGATACCCAATAATCTTAAACCAAGTGGAATCTAAAAGTTTTTCCTCACTCTCTTGTGTTTTCATGGCATGTGTTTCATTTGAGTCTTCTGATTCTTTTACAGAATTAAATGATATAAATATTGCTGAACTTATAAAAAAAGAAGCCTATAACAATTGCAGAAACAATAAATTTGCTTCTTTTCTTTGTTTAATTGCATTATCTACAGTGTTAAATAAATAAATTCGGTCTATTTATCCTGAATTTGGACTTGAAAAATATAAAAAGTTATTTAATGTATGTATATACCCACGTGGTGATCATAAAACAAATAAAGAAATTTTGAGTATTTTATGGTGTAACACTCTTTGTCGCTTTATTTCCAAGGATAAAGATATGTGGTCACCAAATCATTTTGTCCCTATTGTGAAAAGAGAAGTTTTATGCTCAAAGAAATTTGTCAAAAGTAATTTAAAAAGAGGATTGTGTTCAGTTTTGCCAAGTGTTTTGTCGCGTTCTTCTGTTAACACTAAGGTTCTTAATTTATCTTGTCAACCTCCTAAAAATCTATTTTCAAAAAAAAATTCAATCTCAGATAAAGTTTGGAATAAGTAATGAAACTAAAATTATAGATGTAAATATTGATATTACTCCTAATCCAATCTTACTTAATTGTATTCCTTGTTCATCGGATCAGTCTTCAAGCCTTCCTTTTTATGATGTTTCTTTTTACTATGAGAGCGGTAGACAACTATCTGCTGGCAAAGATGATTCAAGGTTATTAGATCTAGTTAATAAAATATTTATTCCTAACTCGTCTTTTGTTTTTCCTGCATCTGGTGAAAAAAAGAAACGATCATTTTTACATAAATAGCTACTTGAATGTTCCTGGTTAGCTTACTCACAGATTGAAGATGGAGCATACTGCCTTCCATGTACACTGTTGGGAAGCAGAATTCCAAACAATACCTCAATAATCAACTTTATTCGAAAACCTTTTAAAATATGGGGTAATGCAATTCGTGCTTACATGGATCACAATAATAATTGCCGACTTCATCAAATGTCAATGCATTGTCTTAACATGCTGCAATCTAGATCTAATTCAAAAAAAATCTGATTGAAGTTGACATCAATAATCAGAGAAAAAAACTTATTATAAGTAATCGAAATAAATTAATTCCAATTATAAAGACAATTATTTTTCTTGGCCGCAATAATATTGCTTTTCGAGGTCATCATGATGACTGTAAGTATCATCCAGAGATCGGAGAAACATGTAAAAACAACAGGTAACTTTGTAGAGCTTTTAAATTTTCGCAATGAACCAGGTGATAAAGTTCTTGAGCACCATATTCATTCTGCTCCTAAAAATGCAACCTATATATCTAAAACCACACAAAACGAGCTTATTGAATGCTGTGGAAAAACAATCGAAGAAGTTCTAATTAATAAAATTAAAAAGTCAGGTTATTTTTCTATCTTGTGTGATGGAGCCTCTAATTGTTCTAATGTTGAACAGCTATCTCTAGTTATAAGATACATTGACTGCAATAATGTTATTTGTGAAGATTTTCTACGGTTTATTGAATGTAAATCTGTTACAACTGGTCTTAGTCTTGCGCAAAACAGTTTCTGCAATTGATGATATTGGTCTTGATATCCAAAAATGTAGAGGTCAAGGATATGATGGTGCTGGGGCGATGTCTGGTAAATTAAAAGGTTTTTCATCAAGAATTAAACTTATCAATTCAATAGCTATTTTTGTTCACTGTGCATGCCATAATTTAGTTGTAAGTAAATCATGCAATGTTCAGAGTGTTAGAAATGTTCTTGATCAAATCAAAGATATATCATATTTTTTTAACTTATCACCTAAACGTGGCAGCTGTCTTAATAAATTCATTTTTCCTGGTCAAGCAAAATTAATCCATACATGTCGAACTAGATGGGTTCAGAAACTTAAAGGTCTGGATGTTTTTTTTTGATAACTACATATCCATTTTTCATTCAATGGAAGAAATGGCATACAATGAAGGTAAGAGTTATAATATTGATACTTCTTCAAAGGCTTCATGTTTTTTAAATTATGACTAATTTTTCTTTTATTGTAAGTTTAGTTTTAACCAAACAAATAACGGACTATTTCTATGCCATCACTGTTGTTCTTCAAACTAAAGCGTTTGATATATCACAACAGTGTAATGAAATAAATTGTTTAAAAACTCAAATTTTAGATTTAAAAAAAATATTGATGTCTATCATAACGAATGGTACTTAATTGCTCTTGATCTAGCTAAGACTCTTGATGTTTCAGAAGTTAAACCAAGGCTCTGTGGCAGACAAATTTATAGAGATAATTATCCCTCTGACACAGTTTCAGATTATTTCAAATATTCCATCACATTTCCTCTTCTAGATCATTTAATTAATAAATTAGAAGATAGATTTGATGAAGGTGATATGGTTGTTTACAAAGGTTTATCTGGTATTCCTGCAACTGTTGTAAAAAAAAATAAAGAAAAATGTTTTTGGAAGTTAGATTTTATGGAATTTTTGCATTTTTATATATCGGATATGCCTCATCCCACATCAATTTATGCTGAATTAGATTTGTGGGAAACATTTCAGAACAATTAATCTGTGATCCCATCCACTATTACAGAGACTTTAAAATCTATTGATATGAGTGGTTTCCCAAACATTAGGGAAGGTTTTTTAATAATGGGAACAATTCCAATTACTACATGTGAATGTAAGAGGACCATTTCTGTTATACGCAGACTGAAAACTTATATGCGAAGCCGCATGACAGAGTCAAGATTTAGTTCTTTAGCTCTGATGTCTATTCATCAAGAAATAATTCCTGAAGTAGAAAGAGTTTTGAATATTTTTTCTGTTTTAGGGGAACGACGCTTAGAGTTGGTTTTTACCTAATATTTATTTATTAATTTCTTTTTTATTTATTGACTATATTCTTGTATTTTAGTTTGTTTTATATTTAAGTTTATTTTATATTTCATGAAAATTAGAAAACACAAAATAAAAAATTAAAAAAAAAACTTTAAAAAAAAAATTGGCCTAACTGCCTATCAAGAAAAGGAAAGAATCCAGAAATGGAGGGCTAACCTAAGGCAACAATACAATTACTTTACACTAACTGCCTATCAAGAAAAGAAAAGAATCCAGAAATGGAGGGCTAACCTTAGGCCACATGACAGTTTACAAACGGAATGCAAAGTCCTATGGCTTACCTTCTCGTTGGTGCACTTCGTTAAATAGGTTAGACAAGTACAAAATGTCTAATTTATGAATAGAATAGCCAAGGCAATATTGTTGTTAGTTTTGTTTTATATGGGTAATTGAGAACAATGCCCGGTAAATAATAATAAAGTACTGATGCCGCTTTGAACTCCCCCCCCCCCTCGTTCTTTTATAGATTTATATAAAGCGTTATATATCAACGATCTTCCAAAAGCCCTAAAAAAACTTGATGTAATAATGTTCGCTGATGATACAAATTTATTTTACTCATCGCCGTCTATAAGCGACCTTTACGAATCTATGAACACTGACCTCGAAAACCCTCAACATCTGGTTTAAAGTTAATAAATTATCTTTGAATACAGATAAAACAAAATATATCTTGTTTTACTCCAACCGTCTTAAAAACTTTATACCAGACACTCTACCTTCACTAAAAATTGATAACATAAACATCAAAAGAACTGAAATAACTAAGTTTCTTGGAATAATTATTGACCAGAATATTAATTGGAAAGCCCATATTAATATAATAAACACAAAAATATCAAAAAGTATCGGCGTACTCTACAAAGCCAAACCTATGCTTTCCCAAGACAACTTAA